CTCTCTCTCTCTCTCTCTCTCTCTCTCTCTCTCTCTCTCTCTCTCTCTCTCTCTGTGTGTGTGTGTGTGTGTGTGTGTGTGTGTGTGTGTGTTACGGAATCAGCCAGGGCTCGATCCCTGGTCCGCGGGTTACCACCTGCCAGGCTGCTATTTTACTTTCGAGTCTCTGATCTCCGGTTCCTGACTGTCGGCGCCCTCTGCAGTTGGCGCCCGTTCTCAAATCCCTCCTCAGGCACTTTCAGATTTTGATACTTGGCGCCATTCGGCATTCTGGCGCCCAGGCTCATACCTTCGATTGTGAGTTCAGCCCCGAGGCAAACCGCACTTCTGCCCTCGGACTCAACTTGAGTCCGGTACTTAAGACCGGACTCAAGCTGAGTTCGGGCATTCAGTTTTCGGCCTCTGTGCTTGTGCTTCAGTGTAACTTGCTGCAACATTGTGTTCCGAACCCAAGATTGCGACTTTGCGACTTTGCCACTTTGTCACTTTGTGTCTGTGTCCGTCGAGTCGTGTCGAGTCCGTGTCGAGTTGAGTGAGTGTGTGTGTGTGCTCTGACTCCCTCCTTCTATTCTGATCTCGGGTTTTCTTTTTTCTTTTTTTCGTTTTTTTTTTTTTTTTTGATCTCGGGTTTTCTTTCTTTTCTTCCCTTTTCTTTTTTGGTCCTTTTTTCCTCTCTTCTTTCGGTTGTCATCTTCTCTCTCATTCCCTTTCATTTTTCTTTTTTTCTTTTTTTTTGTCGTTGTTGTTTTTCCAAATATGGAGGGGACTTAACCTGATCTTGTGTTATCTTGTGGTGGAAACTAGCACTTCAGTATTGCAGTTCTTGGAGTTGGACATTTCTTTGGAGAGAGTAGCCTATTTCCTGAAGAGCGGTTCGGAGGGATTATTCACACGAGATCCAAGCTATCTACATTCGTTATCCAGTAAGTTTTTTCCAAACGTCAGAAAAGTCAAGTTTTTCCAAAACTTCTGGAACTTTCGTTTCTATCGAAACATGTGAAGGAAATGAGAAGTGTGGACGTGCACACCTCTGCAACAAGATTTTCACAGCATTTAAGGTGCCAGTAGGGCAGACTCTGAATTGCCAAACCGAATTTTTGTTGTGCCCGAACGAATCTAACCAATCCCTGTCAGAAGAGTACATCGAAAGCTCAGCCTCCTTGTATGCCACGGAAAGTTCCGGAGGAGGGAGCTCACACTGGTGGTTTAATGCAGCATTTACCATCTGTTTATCTGTGTGTGTGGCTGTTGGTCGTTCAGTCAATCGGTCGGTTAGTCGGTCAGTCGGTCGGGTTCGTCGGTTGGTCACACCGTTGGTCGAATGGTCGGTTGGTCAGTCCATCGATCGGTCTGTGTGTCTGTGTCTCTCTCTCTCTCTCTCTCTCTCTCTCTCTCTCTCTCTCTCTCTCTCTCTCTC